CGCCTACCTCTGGTGTTATCGCACTAGCGGTAGCGGTGGCGGGTAAAATTTCCTCCTCTGGGATGGGAGTGATAACCCTTTCGCCCGGCGGCCGAATTGGCTCAGGCAGAACGGCAACGCGGTCGGGTGATCGTGTCGCCTGTCCTGGTGATCGCCATTCTACCGCCTTTGGCGGCGCAACCTTAGCCGATTCGACCGTCCTATTCTCGCTCTCGTCGCTAATAATTACCCTATGCATTGACTCGTCGCGCGTTACATCAGGCACGCGACCCGACGCAAAATCGCCCGGCTGTAAAGGTGACCCAAGCTCTGGCATCTCCGACGCGATCGTGAAGCGCAAGTACCTTTCCCTAAGTTCGTCCATGTCGCCGTGCACCGCTAAACCACGGTAACGCATTAACTCAAGTAGGGCAACCGGCTCCGTCGAGTCGATACGGCGCTTGACTTCCTTGACGCGGGCATCGCGGAGATTTCTACGCATGGTTACGCGATCCTTACATGCAAGCGGCATGGTGCGATCGAATCGTTAACTTAAAAAAAATTCAAATGAAAAAAAAAAAAAAAAAAATACTTAAAAAAAAACTATTTTCAAATTCAACGACGCGCGCGAGTTGCCAACAGACAGCTAACACATTAAAAGAAAAATATAAACGGAAAAACTACACTATGTAACCAACCAAAAAAAGAAATAAATAATAAACGAACACAAAAAAACTATGTTCCTTTAGTGTGCTAGGCCGGCAAGTTATCGCCTTGCCTAGAACGAGAAAGGAATGCAGCGTTCGAACGTAAACACACTCGGACGCTCAAATTCTCGGAAGCGAACAGGTGTTGCCGCGAGCGACCTTTGCGCGTCACGACCTGATACACTGATGCTTCAAATTTCTACGTTTTCTCTCAAACAAAGGCGCGTTGTTTTTAACACGCTTTGCCCTTGCTAACAAAACGCGACAAAATCACTTCCACAAACCATACTACCGAATTAACCGAAAAAAAAGAAAATGTAATTACTAATGCTACTTATTAACTATTCGCGCACACACATACAAACACTGTTCTCAATTCTGCTTTGCCCATCCCCACAAAGAATGCCATGTAATAGAGTCGGCTTGCAAATCCTATCGCTATTACCAATTATTTAAAAGGGGGAGGGCAAGGGAGGCGGTGTATCGCTCCAAGCAAAGCAGGAAGGAGAATAGCGGGTAAAATAACTTCACACACAATTCGCTAACACACGTTTATTATAAACGCACTACCACGAGTGCCGTCGAGAACACAAATCACTTATTACTATTAACACGCGAACTTATTCTAAACGAGATGACCGGCACGTTAGCGCCATGTCATCTCGTTAACCGGCTCAAACAATTACTTAAATTACACAATGCCGAAAACTACGCCGGCTCGGAAAAGCCTGGCGTAGCAACGCGAACCGTGAGAATCGCCGAGGAAAGGAAGAGATACAAAGAGAGAGAGGAATCGGTGACCTGACCAAATTGGTGGACGTCGCTGTTGCTGGCAGCCTTGAAGGCGTCCCACCGGCGGCTAGGCTGGAAAATCCCTCGCTGCTGCGTGGCCGGCGACCTGGCAGAAAAGGCTGTCGGGTTCTGCCTTGATGACGGCTTCTTGCAGAGCAACTGCTGCGTCGCTGGCAGAGGAAGTCCCGTCCGGCCGATCTGCTGAGGAATGCTGACTTCTTCCGGACAAAGGGCAGGCAGCGATGGTCACCAGCTCTCGTACGACTAATTGCTGTCACGCGCGTCGCGTCACTCTCTGTCGCGAGTGCATGAGAGCCGGCTTCTCACGCTTTCTCCCACCACTCGCCTAATCGGCGGCACGCGGCAATGCCGGTCGCGACAAGTGCCGCGCGCCAAGCCCAATACTCAAACTATTGCTTTTCTCTCTCTCTCTCTCTCTCTCTCTCTCTCTCTCTCTCTCTCTCTCTCTCTCTCTCTCTCTCTCTCTCTCTCTCTCTCTCTCTCTCTCTCTCTCTCTCTCTCTCTCTCTCTCTCTCTCTCTCGCACTCTCAATACTCGAGCGCGTCGTCGCGTCCACGGCTTCTCCTTCCACTCTCGTGCGTTGCTGAAAAATAAAAGGGCAGGCATCAGGCACGTGATAACAACGTGCGCTTGATGCCGGCCGTGCGCCTTTGCCTAGGAAGGAGAGGGAGGCAAGCACACGGTGCAGGCCATGACGGGCCTACACCGTCACAAGTTCTAACAATTAAGAGAGAGAGAGAGGGGGCGCGCGATCTTTTGAATAAGCAGTTACGCCTCAGCTGTGAACGCGAATTTACCGCCAATTTGTGTCGCACTTTGTTTTCACCGAATAATTAGTTTTCTGGGACAATTTCGTGCGTGAGTGCAACGGTATTCCCGAGGTAAAAAGCAGAAGCAGTGCAGAAGAAGTATCGTAGCTAATTGGAGGCAGTACAAGGCAGCGCAGCTGATTTCGAGGGGCAGCGGCAGTTGATAATTTTGCATCAACAATTACGGCTAATCACCGTAATTGCACCGCATGGTAGGTGCACCTTCCGTCATTATATGCGATACAAAATACGTCCGGTATTTTGTCTAATCGTGTTAGGGTTATTTTTTGTATTCGCGTCGAGCGTTAGTTCCCGGTAGAATTCGAATCTTCTCTCTCTCTCTTTCTCACCGAATATAACTAATTGTAAAATCCTATTCGCGGCCTTACAAAGACTGTAGTGATTTTTATCAATTAAAGTCTATTAAATTTATTCGCTGTTTTCGTCATTTAATTTTCCTAGTAGCTTAAGTAATTGAAAAAGGCTTAGATTTTAACCGATTACATCTAAGGGAATAAGAAGATTAGGAGTAAAGTAGCTCATACTTAAAACTTATCGAGTGTCACAAGACACGTGACTTAAGGTGAGTTCAACTCCGTTTGATAGAAGACAACTAGGATAAATCATCTGACCTTAAGGCGAATACACGTACTATCATACGTGTTTAACGGAGCAGCGGTTTGCTCTGCATCGTGGGAGTTTGTTCTTAAATAAATTTCCCATTTTTCAGATAACCTCCCCCGTTACATATTATTATTATTATTATATTTTAAACAATCAGAACTGGACTCCAATTCCCACGTCCCTAATTTGATAAACTTTTCAGTGAATTTCTTTATAGTATTTTTAAGTTTATCAATAGGTTCTTACAGTGTTGACAAATAATTCTCTAAATAATAAAAAATAACCGTCAGTTTATTATTGATTTTGATATCGTAATAACTATTCATTATGAACGCTGAATTATATATGAGAAAAGGAAAAAAATTATGTATTGTAACGGGGTTCTTGCTACCCCGTTAAGGGTGATGCTAAGTAGCTACTCGACTTGCGGGTAACTCGTTATGGGGTCACGCGAGACTCAGCCCAGTGGCTCACATATGCCCCTCGAAGGCACCCTTGCCTTCGGCCCGCGGAGAGCGTCGTAGGTCAGGTAGCAGCGGGCGATGCGAGCCAGCGCGCGCGTAACACGGGAGAGGGAAGTGCCGAGAGGAAAGACGCAGCGGTTAGCAGAAAGAGTGTTTATTAAATCGAAGATAACAAGGGAGGCATACAAGTAGCATTCGCAGTGAGAGAGGCAAGTGAGAAGCAAGCGAGAGAGAGAGTCTTATGATCGAGCGGGCACTTACATGACAGGTTCGCAGTAGCCTCGGATTTACTCCTGACACGCGCAGGTGTTCAGCCACGAGGCAGCTCTCTCAGGCTGATTGACAATTATCTGCACGCACGCACGCACTCTACACCCTCGGTCCTTATCGGCGAAAAATACTAGCTGCGTAGCACAAGGCACTTATTCGTCGCGGTGATAGCCGGGCTTGCTTTCGTCGCGAAGGCGGGGAGCAGATTGTCACTCGCACGCAGAAGGGGTCCCCCTCTCTCGCGCTGGCTATTCGGCAGCGGCGCGTCTCAGCCAATTAGGCAAACGTGCGCGACACTCAAGCGTCCACGCACTCACGCGTACACGCGGATCTCTCTCTCTCTACTCGGTGCTCTCTTACTTACCTCGTGCCGCATCCACAGCTGCGGCAAGACAAAATTACATAAATAGAATACATAGGTTGTTAATAAATTATGATTGGCTTAAGGGGAGAGAGAGACATAACGAGACTCGGCTCGTTATAGTATAAAAAATAAACCGACGGTTTTTTTAACTTGCTTTCTACATTTTCTCAACTATTCAAGTATAAAATCGGTAACATTACGAGCTCAGAATTTTGCTATAAATTGACGAGATAATTTTTTTGAAAAATAGTTTCAAATAGCATTTTTTAAACCCTTTCAGGATCTTTCTCCAGAACTATTCTATCTCTAATATTGAAAAAACTACAACCAATTGAACAAAAATGAAAAAGTACAAAAATTTCTGAAGTTTCTTTTTCGTTTTAATATTCGTAGAAAAATCCCTGAAAAAATTAAAGAAAACAGAAAGAAAGCTTTTGAAGAGAGCTTCAAAATGACTGTATCAGAATTTTTTTAGAATCAAAATTGAAGGAGCTACGTTTGCTCAAAGTCGGAGTAAAATATTAATTACCTCTTCAGAATAATTGGCCGGCATGGTATAATTTTTTTTATAATAGCATGTATCTGAAAGTGCATCTGAGACCTTATTGTTATAGTCAATTTTTTCTATTACTAAAGTCACGTTCCTTTATCTGTATGAATAAATATTATATTACCGCTTTCTTACAAGAACTTCATCGTTATGGATAATATTCCCCTCCCTACGATAAATATTCCGTCCCCCCTTCACCGATACAAAATATAGTATCAAATAGGTTTGATCTACCTTACAATATTTTTTATCACGTTCATAATTTTATTGTTAAAAGCCACCAATCTCCTCTTCGTAGAATATAGAAAAGTTAGTTAATAATAAAGAAAAAAGCGTAATGAACCACTACATTTTTTTTTTAATATATTAAATGTTTTTGCAAATTATTTTATCGAATAATAATGTATATATGAACGTTACCAAACATAATCAAATATGGACTTTCTCCATGCATATCCTTTTGATTTAAAGAACAATCAAATAACTTTATGTACCCGCCACCGCAGTCAATATTCTGTTCGTGTTTTACAGAAAATTGCAGTATCAAAGGTTTTTTGTCATTGCTGAAAGGTTTAAATTTTCGACTCAAAGCATAGAACTTTGCATCTTGCGATGTCTGTAAACCTGAAAGAAGATTATACTTTTACTATAGAATATAAACAGAGAAATTATTACTATAAAAATATAAAAATATACCTTTATCTTTTTCTGCGTCATTAAAAAACTTGCCATGACTCAGTATGAATTTGCCATGTTCCTGTCCAGGATTTTCTGAGTATATCCAATTGTTTTCCCAAGAATCTATCATAAGCATGAAGTGAATAGTTAAAATAGATATTTAATTAAAGTTAAAAGTGTAAAATTTCAAATAAAATAATAAAAAATTAATTATATTTTTTATAATTGAACATTTTGTTTATTTGTCAAAAACAGTTTCAAAAGATTTATATGTACATACCTACATAAATAAATACATACATACATACTTACATACATACATGTACACACACACACACTTACATACACACAGACCTACATACATATACACATACTTATACACACATACATATATGTATAATTGTTTTTGATTGATACAGGTTCTGACTGAAGATGCGAGACTTTTATAAATTATATTTGTTTAATAGTTTTATAAGATAATTTATAGTTATCGTAATGTTTTTTGTCGCTTTGTTTCTTATAATAGAATATGAATTCCTCTAATAGTAAGGTTACATTTTTCAATATACCATGAAAAATGTTTATAATAAAAATATAACTTAAAGATATTATTAACTTTTACTAGCATTATGGTATAATTACATAGAGTTAATTTTGTATGAGATCCATTATGTATAAGTTATAGTCTCCTTTTGCACATATGTAGATTCTTATATCTAACAGTATTATGTCTAAGAAGTTTATATCTCCTTGGATTTATAATGGAGAATATATATTTCTATAAAAATATTCATTAATAACGGCTCTTCATTACTTGATACCATAATCGCAATTTCTTTAGATGAAACAAAAGTTTAATTTCATTGCATAGTACTGATAATTTATCTGTATTGTAAAATATTTCTTAAAATTTTAGTTGTTAACAAGCTTTTGATCAAAATAATGTAATATTACGTATTTAATATTATCTATAAATATCATTACTTTATTTTGAATCTATCATTTATCATTTTGAACTACAACGTATGTATGTTTATTATCTCTTAATTTATATATTAGCAAAAAGACTTTGTTAAATAATAAAATATTTTTCCCTTACTTTTTCAGGGTGGATTGGGTAAGGCAAGGTAACCTGTATCCCTATAAACAATTTTGTGCTCTGATTCTCTCTGTTCTGGCATAAAGCCCGCTATATTTAAGACTTACTCGACGAAGCGAACTTATTGTGTGTACATTATGGATCCACAAGCCTTGTGGAAGCAAAATTACCACAAATACTCTAAAAACACGCAACAAGTGCTTAGAAGACCTGGACCGAGCTTCTAGCTACGCCGGAACATTCGCAAACCACACAAGGACGGGCTTAAATCAGTACCTGAGACACAAAGAAGCATGGTGCTGAAGCAACAGGCGATTGCTGAGGATCGATCTGTTCCCAAGTTTGGACAAGGCACGAAACTGGTCCTCAGCCCTCGATCTTGTTTAGAACCATTTAGGGAACAGGGCAACTTCCAGTAATCTGGAAACCTTACAACTAAGCTTGTAATCACAAGATTAAGGAAGAAGGTACTTACGCACCGGTAGTATTTAACTTGCCTAGAATGCTCCTTAACACATGGATCAATAGTCCCGAGACTAACCCAGAGATGGCACTCGTAGTAAACCAGTAACCACGTCTTTCTAGAGTACTAACCTTTGCTTGAAACCTGTCAAAATTTTAAGTCGATCGGACCAGAAACAGCTGAGTTATCGAGGTTGGAGTAAAGTCGTTTTATAGTTTGTTTAAAAAATGGAAAAAACCGAGTTTTGTGTTCTGATAAAATATTGTTTTTTAATGGGTAAAAACACCGTGCTAGCGAAACAATGGATTGAAAAATGTTGAAAAAACCCGGACTCTTGTCCATCAAAAGCAACGATTTGTCGGTGGTTTACCAAGTTTAAACGTGGTTGTACCGGCACAAATGACGCGGAACGCTCGGGTAGATCTGTGGAAGCCGTTACACCGGAAAATGTGAGTGAAGTGACAAAAATTATAATGAAAAATCGTAAAGTGAAGCTCCGTGACATTGCTGAGATGACACAGATATCATATGGAAGTGTATTTACTATCCTTCATGAAAAATTGAGCATGAAAAAGGTTTTTTCCAAGTGGGTGCCGCGATTGCTTTCGATGGAACAAAAACAGCAACGAGTCGATGATTCAGAAAGCTGTTTATCGCTATTTACTCGCAACAAAAAAGATTTCTTGCGTCGTTACGTGACCATGGACGAAACATGGATACATCACTACACTCCAGAGTCGAAGCGGCAGTCATCTGAGTGGCGCACAGCTGGCGAAAGCCGTCCGAAACGTTCGAAAACGCAGCAGTCAGCTGGCAAAGTCATGGCGTCAGTTTTTTGGGATACGCATGGCGTGATTTTCATTGACTACCTCGAAAAAGGTAAATCGATCAACAGTGATTATTATATTGACTTACTAGTGCGTTTAAAGAAGGAACTCGCAAAAAAACGACCGCACATGAAGAGAAAAATAGTAATTAAAGATACAAGGGCGATAAGCGACACTTAATGGCCCGGCGAGTTTGGGCCCGAGCGCCAGCGAGGGCGCCAAACGCCGGGCCTTTAAATGTCACTTAGCGGCCGATTATCGTTCACTATTTTATAGCCCCGAGGGACATAAATCCGCCATCCATGTGGGGTGCAGGGGTGCGGTGGGGCGCAGGAGGGGGGGCAGCCCCCCCCCCGAGTCAAAAATAAAATTAAAAGAAAAATCATGAAAAAACGTGGTTGCGGTTAGATCCATGAAAACACGCTCTCCTGGCGCCATCTATGTTCATGTTTATATAGATACATATACATGACTTATATCTTCACTCTTCCAAGCAGTAGTTTCAAGTTCTTCGCTCTTCAATTTTTGATAATATCAAATTTTTTTCTTTTTACTTGTACTGTGTAATTCAGAAATAGTAATATTTTAAAGTAGTTTTATGATTTCAATAAGATTTTTAAAAACTTGTAGATGTTTAATGAATATATAATATGAAATAGCATATATAAAGATATGAAATAGCATATATAAAGATTTGATATATCTATATAGTTTTTAGATAAAAGTTTTATGAAATAGCATATATAAAGATTTGATATATCTATATTGTTTTTAGATAAAAGTTTTATATTTTTGTATAAGTTTTGTAAGTTTTATAGTTTTATATCTTTGCATGTTAAAGGCATGTTTAATAAAAGTAAATTTTGAAAGATAAGCTTTATTTTCTAATATCACAAAATGAAAACTTTAATGCAAAAGGTTTTTGAGATTGTAAATTTATTATTTCAAATTATTTCAAACTAAACAATTTTTTTTTATTTGTTTAATAATTATAAATATTTCAATATTATTAAAAATTAGAATTATACTACACTGCTGTTATTTAAATTCAAAATTTGTTATTACCTTGAAATGAATGAATTTTGCTTGAAAAATTTTATTAGTCAATATAACATACATAAGCTGTTATAAACTAACCTAAAACTATCGATACGGTTGCGCGTTCGTGATTGAAAAAAAGATCGTCATTCTATCGGGCCGTAAAAGTAAGACCGTCAGTGTACCGGGCCCTTATGTTGTACTTATCGCCCGAAAAAGTGGGCCATAGGTGCGGATTTATGGCCCACAGGGCTATAAAAATCCTTTTTCACCAAGACAAAGCACCCTGCCACAAGTCGATGAAAACAATGGCAAAATTGAACGAATTGGGCTTTGATCTGCTTCCCCACCCCCCATACTCGCCAGATTTAGCCCTTAGTGACTACTGGCTCTTTGCTGATCTTAAAAAAATGCTCCAGGGAAAAAGATTTGGCTCAAATGAGGAGGTCATCGCTGAAACTGAAGCTTATTTTGAAGCGAAAAATAAATTTTTTATAAACATGGTTTTGAAAAATTGGAAAAGCGTTGGAACCATTGTATCACCCTAAAAGGTGATTATGTTGATAAATAAAAAAAAATTTTGCAAAAAAAATGTTGTTTTCATTGTTAGTCTCGGGACTTATTGATCCATGTGTTACTTGTGAGGAGCATCTGAGAAGAGAGATGCTAGTTGAAGTGTGTAACCTCCTTAGAAACGTAGTGGTTAAGAAAGTCAAGAGGGAGGTTTTCTATGCCGCTTGACAGACCTTTATCTTAAAAAGGGAATCATGGCATTTGTTTGCGAGGATAAATGATTAGCCACCTGGGACGAGAATGAAATCGAAAAACATGATTTGGAAGAACCGAACTTCAAAGTTCGTGCAGTCCATCTAAGGAAGATTCGAATCGTCAAAGTGATGACCGAATTACCTCACGGAGTGGAATTCATATCGGATTTCTTAAAACTGATTCGAAAGCAGAACGGCGGTATAGACAGCACAAAGAATTAAGTTTAAGGGATGGCACCACCACTAGAATTGAAATAAAGTATAAGGAAGGACAATTATAGTAACTTCAGCTTACCGCATGAGGAAGACATACCAACAAATGATATGAAGGAAATAATAGAGTACTGCAGGCAAAAAATCCTCGACTTGATAATCGGATGCCACACCAACGCTTATCTTACAGCATGGGGCAACACGGATAGAAAAAAAAGAGGAGCACTACTCTAATTCATTACAGATACGCATATGAAGATTGCTAACCATGGGAAAGAGTTGACCTTCGTAACGTCCAACGGAAAACAAATTCTTGATCTTATCATGGTCTGAATAAATATTAAGTGAAGAATAATGGAATGGAAAGTTGAAAAAGAACTATCCACATTAGATTATAAGACCATCACTTTCGGGATGGAAATATCAACCCCGAAAAGGGAATATAGGAGAAGGAACAAGAACACAAATTGAGAAGGATACAAGAAAGAGCTAAAAGAGAGACTTTCTTCAAAAGAGGCTACTGCAACAAAGTGGATCTAGATTATACAGTAGGTCACATCCAAAAACCCGTAATAAAATCGTATGAAAATAATTGCATAATAAAACAATGTGGAGAAGTAACGTGAAATGGTGGAATAAATACCTTGGAACAGTGAAAATGAAAACCTAGAAAGCTTTTAACAGGGCTAAGAAATCAAAAACCTCGAAAGGATGGA